TCATAGTCATGTGGAGAACCTTATAGTCCATGTTTGGGTAAGAATGGCTCCATCTAGTTCATCTTATACACTACAAGTGATTTTCCACAATGTGGAGGCACAGAGGTACATTTCGGACTCCTTACCTCTTCGGTTCCCAAATTTGGTCCATTTGATGTTCCTCCCTTCGATTGAGACCGTTTCACTCATGTTTCCTCATAGTCATGTATAGAACCTATTAATCCATTTTTGGGAAAGTATGGGTCCGTCTATCTCATCATATACACTACAAGTGAGTTTCCACAATGTGGAGGCACAAGGTACATTTCGGACTCCTTACCTCTTCCGGTTCCCAAAGTTTGTCCATTTGATGTTCCTCCCTTGGATTGAGACCGTTTCACTCATGTTTGTCCTCATAGTAATGTGGAGAACCTATTAATCCATGTTTGGGTAAGTATGGGTCCATCTAGTTCATCTTATACACTACAAGTGAGTTTCCACAATATCGACGCACAAAGGTACATTTCGGACTCCTTACCTCTTCCGGTTCTCAAATTTGGTCCATTTGATGTTCCTCCCTTGGATTGAGACCGTTTCACTCATGTTTGTCCTCATAGTAATGTGGAGAACCTATTAATCCATGTTTGGGTAAGTATAGGTCCATCTAGTTCATCTTATACTCTACAAGTGAGTTTGGAGGCAAAAAGGTGGACTCGTTACCACTTCCGATTCCCAAATTTGGTCCATTTGTTTTCCTCCCTTGGATTGAGACCGTTTCACTCATGTTTGTCCTCATAGTAATGTAGACACCCTATGAAACCATGTGTGGGGTCTATCTAGTTCCATATATACACTACAAGTGACTTCCTACAATGTGGAGGCACAGAGGTACATTTCGGACTCCTTACCTCTTCCGGTTCCCAAATTTGATCCATTTGATGGTCCTCCCTTGGATTGAGACCGTTTCACTCATGTTTGTCTCCTCATAGTAATGTGTAGAACCTATTAATCCATGTTTGGGTAAGTATGGGTCCATCTAGTTCATCTTATACACTACAAGTGAGTTTCCACAATATGGACGCACAAAGGTCCATTTCGGACTCCCTACCTCTTCCGGTTCCCAAATTTGTCCATTTGATTTTCCTCTCTTGGATTGAGACCGTTTCACTCATGTTTGTCCTCATAGTCATGTGTAGAAGCTATTAATCCATGTTTGGGTAAGTATGGGTCTATCTAGTTCATCTTATACACTATAAGTGAGTTTCCGCAATGTGGAGGCACAAAGGTACATTTCGGACTCCTTACCTCTTCCGGTTTCCAAATTTGGTCCATTTGATGTTCCTCCCTTGGATTGAGACCGTTTCACTCATGTTTGTCCTCATAGTAATGTGGAGAACCTATTAAACCATGTTTGGGTAAGTATGGGTCCATCTAGTTCATCTTATACACTACAAGTGAGTTTCCACAATGTGGAGGCACAGAGGTGTATTTCGGACTCCTTAGCTCTTCCTGTTCATAAATTTGGTCCATTTGCTGTTCCTCCCGGATTGAGACCGTTTCCCATGGCGCGGCGCCGCGTGGCGGGGGCCCCGGGGCGCTTCGGGCGGCCGGGCCGGCGCGCCGCCCCCGGGCGGCCGGGCGGGGGGCCGCCCGCGGCGCCCGCTGCGCCGCCGCGCCCGCGGCGCGCCGCCCGGCCGCGCGCGCGCCGGCCGGCGCGGCCGCCCCCCGCGCCGCCCGCGCGCGCGCGCGGCGCCCCGCCCGGCCCGGCGCCGCGGCGCGGCGGGCGGCCCGGCCGCCGCCGCCCGCCGCGCGCGCGCCGCCGCCGGCGCGGCCCGCGCGCGCGGCGGGGCGCGCCGGGCGGGCCGCCGGCCGGCGCGCGGCGGGCCCGGCGCCGCGGCGCGGCCGGCCCCGCCCCGGGCGCCGGCGCGGCGGCCGGCGCGGCCGCCGGCGGCGCCCGCCGCGGCGGCGGGGCCGGCCGGCGCGGGCCGCGCGCGGCGCGCGCGGCGAGTCACGGAGGTACATTTCGACTCCTTACCTCTTCCGGTTCCCAAATTTGGTCCATTTGATGTTCCTCCCTTGGATTGAGACCGTTTCACTCATGTTTGTCCTCATAGTAATGTGGAAAACCTATTAATCCATGTTTGGGTAAGTATGGGTCCATCTAGTTCATCTTATACACTACAAGTGAGTTTCACAATGTAGTCACAGAGGTACATTTCGGACTCCTTACCTCTTCCGGTTCCCAAATTAGGTCCATTTGATGTTCCTCCCTTGGATTGAGACCGTTTCACTCATGTTTGTCCTCATAGTCAATGTGGAGAACCTATTAATCCATGTTTGGGTAAGTATGGGTCCATCTAGTTCATCTTATACACTACAAGTGAGTTTCCACAATGTGGAGGCACAGAGGTACATTTCGGACTCCTTACCTCTTCCGGTTCCCAAATTTGGTCCATTTGATGTTCCTCCCTTGGATTGAGACCGTTTCACTCATGTTTGTCCTCATAGTATGTGTAGAACCTATTAATCCATGTTTGGGTAAGTATGGGTCCATCTAGTTCATCTTATACACTACAAGTGAGTTTCCACAATGTGGAGGCACAGAGGTACATTTCGGACTCCTTACCTCTTCCGGTTCCCAAATTTGGTCCATTTGATGTTCCTCCCTTGGATTGAGACCGTTTCACTCATGTTTGTCCTCATAGTCATGTGTAGAACCTATTAATCCATGTTTGGGTAAGTATGGGTCCATCTAGTTCATCTTATACACTACAAGTGAGTTTCCACAATGTGGAGTCACAGAGGTACATTTCGGACTCCTTACCTCTTCCGGTTCCCAAATTTGGTCCATTTGATGTTCCTCCCTTGGATTGAGACCGTTTCACTCATGTTTGTCCTCATAGTAATGTGGAGAACCTATTAATCCATGTTTGGGTAAGTATGGGTCCATCTAGTTCATCTTATACACTACAAGTGAGTTTCCAATGTGGAGTCACAGAGGTACATTTCGACTCCTTACCTCTTCCGGTTCCCAAATTTGGTCCATTTGATGTTCCTCCCTTGGATTGAGACCGTTTCACTCATGTTTGTCCTCATAGTCATGTGGAGAACCTATTAATCCATGTTTGGGTAAGTATGGGTCCATCTAGTTCATCTTATACACTACAAGTGAGTTTCCACAATGTGGAGTCACAGAGGTACATTTCGGACTCCTTACCTCTTCCGGTTCCCAAATTTGGTCCATTTGATGTTCCTCCCTTGGATTGAGACCGTTTCACTCATGTTTGTCCTCATAGTAATGTGGAGAACCTATTAATCCATGTTTGGGTAAGTATGGGTCCATCTAGTTCATCTTATACACTACAAGTGAGTTTCCACAATGTGGAGTCACAGAGGTACATTTCGGACTCCTTACCTCTTCCGGTTCCCAAATTTGGTCCATTTGATGTTCCTCCCTTGGATTGAGACCGTTTCACTCATGTTTGTCCTCATAGTAATGTGGAGAACCTATTAATCCATGTTTGGGTAAGTATGGGTCCATCTAGTTCATCTTATACACTACAAGTGAGTTTCACAATGTGGAGTCACAGAGGTACATTTCGGACTCCTTACCTCTTCCGGTTCCCAAATTTGGTCCATTTGATGTTCCTCCCTTGGATTGAGACCGTTTCACTCATGTTTGTCCTCATAGTCATGTAGAACCTATTAATCCATGTTTGGGTAAGTATGGGTCCATCTAGTTCATCTTATACACTACAAGTGAGTTTCCAATGTGGAGTCACAGAGGTACATTTCGGACTCCTTACCTCTTCCGGTTCCCAAATTAGGTCCATTTGATGTTCCTCCCTTGGATTGAGACCGTTTCACTCATGTTTGTCCTCATAGTCATGTGGAGAACCTATTAATCCATGTTTGGGTAAGTATGGGTCCATCTAGTTCATCTTATACACTACAAGTGAGTTTCCACAATGTGGAGTCACAGAGGTACATTTCGGACTCCTTACCTCTTCCGGTTCCCAAATTTGGTCCATTTGATGTTCCTCCCTTGGATTGAGACCGTTTCACTCATGTTTGTCCTCATAGTCATGTGGAGAACCTATTAATCCATGTTTGGGTAAGTATGGGTCCATCTAGTTCATCTTATACACTACAAGTGAGTTTCCACAATGTGGAGTCACAGAGGTACATTTCGGACTCCTTACCTCTTCCGGTTCCCAAATTAGGTCCATTTGATGTTCCTCCCTTGGATTGAGACCGTTTCACTCATGTTTGTCCTCATAGTCATGTAGAACCTATTAATCCATGTTTGGGTAAGTATGGGTCCATCTAGTTCATCTTATACACTACAAGTGAGTTTCCACAATGTGGAGTCACAGAGGTACATTTCGGACTCCTTACCTCTTCCGGTTCCCAAATTAGGTCCATTTGATGTTCCTCCCTTGGATTGAGACCGTTTCACTCATGTTTGTCCTCATAGTAATGTGTAGAACCTATTAATCCATGTTTGGGTAAGTATGGGTCCATCTAGTTCATCTTATACACTACAAGTGAGTTTCCACAATGTGGAGTCACAGAGGTACATTTCGGACTCCTTACCTCTTCCGGTTCCCAAATTAGGTCCATTTGATGTTCCTCCCTTGGATTGAGACCGTTTCACTCATGTTTGTCCTCATAGTCATGTAGAACCTATTAATCCATGTTTGGGTAAGTATGGGTCCATCTAGTTCATCTTATACACTACAAGTGAGTTTCCACAATGTGGAGTCACAGAGGTACATTTCGGACTCCTTACCTCTTCCGGTTCCCAAATTTGGTCCATTTGATGTTCCTCCCTTGGATTGAGACCGTTTCACTCATGTTTGTCCTCATAGTCATGTAGAACCTATTAATCCATGTTTGGGTAAGTATGGGTCCATCTAGTTCATCTTATACACTACAAGTGAGTTTCCACAATGTGGAGTCACAGAGGTACATTTCGGACTCCTTACCTCTTCCGGTTCCCAAATTTGGTCCATTTGATGTTCCTCCCTTGGATTGAGACCGTTTCACTCATGTTTGTCCTCATAGTCATGTGTAGAACCTATTAATCCATGTTTGGGTAAGTATGGGTCCATCTAGTTCATCTTATACACTACAAGTGAGTTTCCACAATGTGGAGTCACAGAGGTACATTTCGGACTCCTTACCTCTTCCGGTTCCCAAATTTGGTCCATTTGATGTTCCTCCCTTGGATTGAGACCGTTTCACTCATGTTTGTCCTCATAGTCATGTGAGAACCTATTAATCCATGTTTGGGTAAGTATGGGTCCATCTAGTTCATCTTATACACTACAAGTGAGTTTCCACAATGTGGAGTCACAGAGGTACATTTCGGACTCCTTACCTCTTCCGGTTCCCAAATTTGGTCCATTTGATGTTCCTCCCTTGGATTGAGACCGTTTCACTCATGTTTGTCCTCATAGTCATGTGTAGAACCTATTAATCCATGTTTGGGTAAGTATGGGTCCATCTAGTTCATCTTATACACTACAAGTGAGTTTCCACAATGTGGAGTCACAGAGGTACATTTCGGACTCCTTACCTCTTCCGGTTCCCAAATTTGGTCCATTTGATGTTCCTCCCTTGGATTGAGACCGTTTCACTCATGTTTGTCCTCATAGTCATGTGTAGAACCTATTAATCCATGTTTGGGTAAGTATGGGTCCATCTAGTTCATCTTATACACTACAAGTGAGTTTCCTCAATGTGGAGTCACAGAGGTACATTTCGGACTCCTTACCTCTTCCGGTTCCCAAATTAGGTCCATTTGATGTTCCTCCCTTGGATTGAGACCGTTTCACTCATGTTTGTCCTCATAGTCATGTGGAGAACCTATTAATCCATGTTTGGGTAAGTATGGGTCCATCTAGTTCATCTTATACACTACAAGTGAGTTTCCACAATGTGGAGTCACAGAGGTACATTTCGGACTCCTTACCTCTTCCGGTTCCCAAATTAGGTCCATTTGATGTTCCTCCCTTGGATTGAGACCGTTTCACTCATGTTTGTCCTCATAGTCATGTGTAGAACCTATTAATCCATGTTTGGGTAAGTATGGGTCCATCTAGTTCATCTTATACACTACAAGTGAGTTTCCACAATGTGGAGTCACAGAGGTACATTTCGGACTCCTTACCTCTTCCGGTTCCCAAATTAGGTCCATTTGATGTTCCTCCCTTGGATTGAGACCGTTTCACTCATGTTTGTCCTCATAGTCATGTGTAGAACCTATTAATCCATGTTTGGGTAAGTATGGGTCCATCTAGTTCATCTTATACACTACAAGTGAGTTTCCACAATGTGGAGTCACAGAGGTACATTTCGGACTCCTTACCTCTTCCGGTTCCCAAATTTGGTCCATTTGATGTTCCTCCCTTGGATTGAGACCGTTTCACTCATGTTTGTCCTCATAGTCATGTGTAGAACCTATTAATCCATGTTTGGGTAAGTATGGGTCCATCTAGTTCATCTTATACACTACAAGTGAGTTTCCACAATGTGGAGTCACAGAGGTACATTTCGGACTCCTTACCTCTTCCGGTTCCCAAATTTGGTCCATTTGATGTTCCTCCCTTGGATTGAGACCGTTTCACTCATGTTTGTCCTCATAGTCATGTAGAACCTATTAATCCATGTTTGGGTAAGTATGGGTCCATCTAGTTCATCTTATACACTACAAGTGAGTTTCCACAATGTGGAGTCACAGAGGTACATTTCGGACTCCTTACCTCTTCCGGTTCCCAAATTTGGTCCATTTGATGTTCCTCCCTTGGATTGAGACCGTTTCACTCATGTTTGTCCTCATAGTCATGTGGAGAACCTATTAATCCATGTTTGGGTAAGTATGGGTCCATCTAGTTCATCTTATACACTACAAGTGAGTTTCCACAATGTGGAGTCACAGAGGTACATTTCGGACTCCTTACCTCTTCCGGTTCCCAAATTTGGTCCATTTGATGTTCCTCCCTTGGATTGAGACCGTT